TCTCAGTCTTTGTCTCCATCGTTCTTAATTCTCAATCTAAGGCGTACACTACAGCTGCAGAGGTTGATGGAGTAGCTCGGCGGTGCCATGATGTGCGCGAGATTGTGACAAATCCACTCAATTTAGGTAGTATTGGATCTAAAGTTGCGTCATTTGCCAGGGTAATTAACCCGGAAGGACACCGACACTTGCCCAGACTGCCGGGTATGGATTGTCTTCAGACATTGGTCAGTTTTAATTGGCTGACCGGTATGGACAATTTCTCAGAGCTTCCGGCCTATCAGCCGGGTTTGGGTACGAATTCTTCCTCCGCGTGGGGGGGTCCGATGGCCGTTTTGGGTACGGATCGTCCTCAGGCCCTCCCACCATTGTCATGGGTTCTTTCGTCTTGCATGTACTTCTGAAACATCTGATCGATTGTCTGGCTTGAGCCAGAGCGCCGGTGAGGGCTCGACGCCCTATTTTTCCAGTCGGCTTACGCAGGACCCATGACAATTGGTGGGAGGGCCTGAGGACAATCTGTACCCAAAACGGCCATCGGGACCCCTCATGCGGAGGGAAAATCCGTATCCAAACCCGGCCGGTAGGCCGGGAGCTCTGCGGAATTGTCCATACCGGCCAACGAAAACTGACTAATGTCTGAGGGCAATCCATACCCGGTAGTCTGGACAAGTGTCGGTGTCCTTCCGGGTTAATTACCCAGCTTTAGATCCAATACTACCTAAATTGAGTGGATTTGTCACAATCTTGTGCACATCGTGGCGCCACCGAGCTTCTCCACCAGCTTCTGTAGTGTAGTACGCCTTAAATTAAGACCTGAGAATGATAGAGACAAAGACCGAGAGCATGAAGATATTTTGAAGGCCACGATAATTAATGCATCTGTACATGGCCTCTGAAGTATAACCCAGCTGTATTAACAAGTCAACCTGCCGATCACCGGCAGGCGGCGGCGGTGCGCAGGCCCAGTCTGCTTCCGCTGTTGGTGCAACAAACCTCTGGCCGCACCTCTTGAAGCTGCTCGATGTTGCGCGAAGCATGGAGAGAAGCGGCGGGCGGCGGTAGCGGCGGCAGCTGCAATGATGACAGAAGAGGCCAAGGACAATGGTACTCCTGTAATATATATTTGTGTATTACACATGAGTATACTATGCACGAAGGAATAACAGGCATAGTATGGGCGAGGAAACTGATAGGCCTGAGCTAGAGTCCGTACTATTTTGGGCTCGTCGTGCAAATTTTGTCCGTACCTAAAGGCCAAAACCGGCAAAATCTGTCCTCAGGCCTTCCCACCAATTGTCATGGGTCCTGCTTACGCATATTCCAATATCGGCACCTATAATTTGTGTACATGTGTGGGCACATCTGGCCTACAACTACTGCTTACTGCGCTTTTATCCAAGCTGCCCCTACTATGTCTACTCAGAAAGCTCTTTATCTCCCTCAGGCCAAAGGCCAATTCGTGATCAGGGAGAGGGATATTGAAGAACCAGGTCACGGCGAAGTCCTCGTTGAGATCCACGCAGCTGCACTCAACTCTGGTGAATGGAAGATCCAGGCCTTTGAAATCCTCATCACCGAGTACCCTGCTATCCTCGGTGCCGACGCGGCGGGCATCATTAAGAAGGTCGGCGCTGAAGTGACTGACATCTCTGTGGGCGACAAGGTGTAAGTACAAAGCATATTGCATGATTATGAAGCGCTAATGGCCAGTAGACTCTTCCAAGGAGATTTTACCAAGAACCGCCATGCCACGTTCCAGCAGTATACTGTCGCGTTCATCAGGAAGCAGCGTCTGACTACGTAGCGAGGGCGCTTGCTACTCTGAGCCACCGCATCTGCCCTTGTCGGGTAGCGCACGCGTAGAGGCTCAGGAGTGCCTGGTAGTACCCAGCGGCAGCGCACACATTTTAGGGGTCACTACGGTATGCCAGAAATTATATATTGGTTATTCAAGCTACAATGTGCAAATTTGTATGCGGGACACACACCTATGTCATTACTGGACTAAAGTTAGATTAATGCACCGAAGAGCAGCACTCCAAGGCAAACTCGTGTGGATGTTCAAGCTCAAGCTCAAGAGGCGTCTGCCAAAGTACAAAGACGTCTGCCCTAAA